GGTAGTTTTAGGAGAAATAAGTAGCTATACTATTCTAGAATCTCAAATGGGCCCTCTATTTAATTCCCTAGCTTCTGGCTCAAATAATTGGATTTCTAGTACTTTATAATAACTCATACTTTATTTCCTACTTTAAAATTAATTAGACGGCGGTATTTATTAGCTTATATTATATATTATTCCTATACTTACTTTATATAGCCTTAGGCAAGTTATTATAATTTATATAATTAATTTACTAATATTTTAGCTTTATTTCTATTTAGCTTCTTTTTAGGTAAGTTAGCTTTAATAGAGGAGTTCTAGTCTAGAGAAGTATAAAGCTTATAGCCCTTTTTAGTTATAAATAGAGACTAGCTAATAGTTTTATATTAAAGAGAGGCTTATTAATAATTAATTATAGTAATCTATTTATTCTAGTTATCCTAGTAATAATTAATATACGGGTATAATCTCTAATTAAAGTACTAATTAATAATCTTTATTTATTTATCTATTTAGGAGTAATTAGCTATAGAAAGCTTAAGCTTTATACTAATTCTCATATAAAATTTGCTTCAAAAATCGAATATAAATTAGGGTTCCTAATCTAATATAATTATTTCTAAAATACTTATTTAGTATATTATATAAATGTCACGTGTGGCTGTCACGTGACTACGATCCAGCCATTTAACCGTGATTAGGCGTATTCACCTGTAGTGAATACTGTGGTCTTTTGGTCCAGTGAACTGTGGTGCGAGCCTAATTCTCACACGTTACAATAAAATAAAAATAGAAATACTAGCTACTTGGCTATAATTATATCTTATATAAGAATTATAATTAGGCGCTTAAATAAGTAATTTATAAATATAGTAACTATATTATAGCCTAATTTACTTTCTGGATAGCTCTTAAAGTTTATAGTAATATATTACTAGAGGTAATTAGAAACTAGAAAAAGATAAAATAAACTAGGCTTCTTATTTCTAAATATATATAATCTCTTATAAGTATAGTAATTACTATAGTATTAATTAATATTCTTATTTATAAATAGCTAATAGAGCTTTATATATCTAGGATATCCAGAAAGGGATTTATTATATACTTTATAAATTAAGATAGTTTATAAAAGTAGTCCGGGAGTTATTTTATTCTTTATAATATAAAGTCTTTTATAATATAAAAGAAGGCTATTTTATAATATTTAGATATTACTTTTAGCTTGGGCTATTATATATAGCTTTTCTAGATCCGGTAATATATAATTATTCTATAGGATCTTATTTATAAGTTATAAATTACTATATTTAGTAAGAGCCTCTAATAGTATTTCTATAGAAGCTATTATAATAAAGTTTACTAGTAAAGCTTCTAAGAAAATATTTTCTTTTAGGGAAATTATATCTCTAATAGAGATATTTTTCTTTGAAAAATCTTTAATATATATTTGGTTTTTAGAGCCGAATTCCGGATTAAATAAGCCGACCTTATAGAATATTACTATAAGCTATAAGTTATAAATAATCTTCGAATTAATCTTATTTTTAGAGAAAAATACTTGAGTTTATAGCTTCTCTTTAATCTGGCCCTAAATATCTATTTTGTTTTATTTTTATAATAAAGTATTTATTTACTTATTTAATTTTCCAGAATAATATATAAGCTTAAAGTAATAATAGAATAAAAGCTTAGCCTATCTAGCTTATTAAGAAAAGAGTTTCTTAGTAATTATAAAGTATTTTAAAGTATAGTAATTAGAATAGACTTTAAAAAAAGTATTCTAAAGGCCCTCTAGCTTAGCTTTCTATTTCTCTAATACTCGAATTATAATAAGTATTTTCTTATTATATATATTATAATTAAGCTTTATTAGAAGTATAATTTTAGAAAAATAAGCTATAGGATACTAAAGGCCTATTTCTGGGTCTTATTAAAAGAATAGACTAGTAATTACTTTTTTAGATATATTTATTTCTATTATTATAGGTAAATCTGAATTATAGTATTATAAAACTAAAATAGAAATTATAGCTTTTTTTAGATAAGTAAAAGCCTCTCGGTATTACTTAAACTATTTAAAAGAAATACTCTTTTTTATAAATAAGATAAGAAATCTAGTAATTTATTTATATTCTCTAATAAAGTATTTATAAAAGTTATAGAAGCCGAGGAAGAACTATATATTCTTAACTATTTTTGGGAATTACTAGTTATATATTATTTTAATTTTATTAGGATCTATTTTAATACCAGATATAAAAATAATAAAGCCCAAGTACTTTATATATATAATTTTAAAGTCCGATTTCTTAATATTTATTTAGAGGCTAGTAAGATATAAATAATCTAGTACTTTTTATATATACTATTTATATTTTATTAGATTCTTTAAATAAATAAGAATATTATTAAGATATATTATATAAAAGTTATTTAGATATTTAAAGAATATATTATTTATATAGTATTAATATATAGCCGGGCTATTTATAAGGCCTTTCTAGAAAATATTATATTTATATATTTTATAGTAAATACGGAATATTATTAGTTCCTAAAAGTCCGGGTTTATAGCTATATAATAGAAAGCTTAGTAAATATCTAATTTAGTATAGATCTTAGCCTTAGATAATTAACTTAAAGTCTTATTAATAAGGAAAAGGAAATATTAATTCTTCTAGGTAATATTATTTAGGTAATAAAAATTAATATAAAAGTATAAATCTCTATTTACTTTTTTTATAAAAAGAACTAGTAAAGTAAAGGAAGCCTAACTAGCTTTAATAAAGCCCTTAGTTAGATTATCTTTTAAGAAATACTTGATTTCTAGAAGCTTTTAAATAGACTATTACTAGAGGAATTAATATCTAATACTCTCGGTTTCCTTTAGGCTTTTAATCTAAATCTTATAATTATATAATTTATAGAAAGAAAAGGTATTAGATTTCTTTTTAGAGAAAATAGAGGTATATTTCTTAAGTTCCGGAAATAATATTCTTTATAGCTATTAAAGCTTTATTTTTCCCGGTTATTAATTTTCTAGGCCAGGAATAGCTTCTTTTTTCCGAGCTTTAAGCTTCTTATTAATCTTATAAATAAAGATTTGACTAATAATATTGTTTTTTCTTTTAGCTATATAATTAAATACTATAGAGATAAGAATAGCTAGGTCTAATATTTATTCTTTATTAAAGATCTCTTCTTGCTTTTTTGGCTTTTACTTAGGTATTATATTTTAATTAGGCTATAGAAGCTTCTTTTCTATAGTCTTATATAATTTCCTTTAATTAGTTTAAAAAAAGAAAAACTATTTTAGAATAAAAAGTTTCTAGAAATAGCTTATAATAGAATCTTATTAATTAGTATTCTTTTAATACTTCTTATTAGGTTACTTCTCTAGCTATTATTATAAAATACTAATAATATAACTAAATTATATAGATTTAGGCTTATTTTTTTTAGCTATATAAGCCTATATCTTCTGTAATTAACTAGAATATTAATATATACTACTTATTTCCTATTAAGAATAATATTATAATCTTTAAGATTTAGGATAATTATAGATATATTAATATTTTATTTATTAATTAGAAATAAGACTTCTATATATTTCTTAGTAAACTTAGCTAGCTTTCTATTAAAACTATATATAATATAGAGTAAGAAAAAGAGTTATAGTTCTATTTCTAAGAATTAATCTATAAGCTAAGTAAGCTTTATATTAATAAAAGTATAACTATTAGTTCTAGTATTAATAAGAGAAAAAGATTTAATTCCTAATTTATTTATACTAATAATATAAAATATTATAAAAGTATTTCTTTTTATTAAATAAGTCAAGTTAATCTTTATTAAATTTATATTATAAGCTTTTAAAATAAAGACTTTCTTTAGAAGTACTTATTTCCCGGTTTTATACCAGAATTAGAGCTTAAATCCTCTAAATACTTTATTAGAATAATATATTCTAGTAAAATAGGAACTAAACCCGGCTTAATTCTAGAAAGAGCTATCTTGGTTTCCTTATTATATAGAACCGGATAATATCTAATATAATAGCCGAACTCGTTATAGTTATAGTACTTAATAGTTAAAAGATCCTCGGTTTTTATAAGATATTACTTATATTTATAAGAAAGTATATACTTAACAAAAGTAATTAATATAGGCTCTTTGGGCTTCTTTTTAGGAATATACTTCTTAGGAATATACTTCTTAGGAATATACTTCTTAGGAATATACTTCTTAGGAATATACTTCTTAGGAATATACTTTTTAGGAATATATAAGAATATAATATTAGAAGTAAACTTGGCTAGAATAGCTCTTACTTTTTTATATTTCTTACTTTTCTTATATATAGCCTTAATCTACTAATTATTAGTAATATAGTACTAAGTAAAACAAGTAGTATTAATAGAAGAATTATTATAGTATATATATACTAATTTTTAGAGCTTTAGTAAGAGCTTCTTATTTAGTTTATATTTAATATCTTAAAGACTAATATTACCTTTTATAGATAATTATAAGAAGAAAGTATAGAATTCCTGAAATACTTAACTAGAATATATTTAAAGCTTACTAAAGTTATAATAAATATTCTATATCTTATTAGGGTTAGAGTATAGCTTCTTTAGATAAGAATAGAGCTCTAAAAGCTAATAGTACTAATTCGGACTATCTTTATTTATATAAGAGTTAGTTAGGGCAAGAGTATTACTAGTAAGTTTACTAGAAATATAAATAATCTTGAGATTCTCTAAGAAATATAAATTAGTATTTCCTTATAGCTTATTCTTAACCTGAACTAGCTAGTTATTAAAGATAATATAATCTCTAATAAAGAGAGTTAGATCTGGGAGCTTAGTAACTCTAGTATTTCTAAAGGAAATATAAGATATAGGGGATTCTAGACAGAAATAAGTAAGTATTAGTTTACTAGTAATATATAGCACCGTTATATAGGTATGGAAGTGCTATTTGCATAAGGTTAATAAAGTTGTTATTTAGAAGTAAGGATTGCAGTATCGTAATATTAATATATAATCCCTAAATCTGCTAAGCCTAAAGGGGTCTAGTCTACTAGTCGAGTCACTAATGGGATGCAAGGTCACATGACCATGTCCTGTATCCCATGTCCCGTATCCCATATCCCATTGCCCATATCCCATTACCCATGTCCCATTGCCCATGTCCCATTACTCATGTCCCATTGTCCATGTCCCGTGTCCCGTGACTACACACGTGACTCCCAACGGAACAGCTGTACCAATACTGGAAACTCTCTAAAAACGCGAAAAACAGTGTCTCCCTCCGATTGCATGCAAATTCCCTAATCCGGCCTAGTACCAGATACTCAGATGCCAGATACCCAGATACCAGATGCCCAGATGCCAGATACTAAGGGAATCTCTATATATATCCTCTTATTCATATGTCTATTTCCCGCTCTATTCGCATTCAACCTATTTCTCTATATCCAACTATATGGTATTCGTATTAATAAGGCACTTGAGGGCATTTAATGGCTTCGATTTCGTTATAGAGTCGGCAGGATTTAATTCTCCCTTAATCCACTTGACTTCTGTAATCTCTCATTATTCATATACCTGGCAGAGGTATATTATATTAATTATTAGGCATTTCTCTCAAGTAGTGCCTAATTTAATAAGGCATTCGTATAATAACTTCGAATCCGTATAAACGACTAGTAATAGTTCTATTTCCAGTATTTTATTAATTATAGATTTGACTAAAGTGCCCATATTAAAACCATAAGCCATACTATAGAGTTCTAAAGCTAGAATACTTCTAGTAACTCTCTTATATTTAGTAGAGAACTAGTAAATAATATTAGTATATCTAGTTCTATTTACTAGAACTAGAATATATCCGATTTAGGAGAAGAGATTTCTATTATTTATAAATAAAGCATTTATAAAAATAATTAAATATAAGAACTTCTTTACTAGCTTTATAAATCTTAGTTCTCTAGTAGTATTCTTAATTTGCTATTAAATATATTTATTAAGTACCTTTATATTAGTTTCCGAGGATTTAATAGCTTAAATAATAATTAATAGGTCATATAAAGCTCCTAGTTAATAGACTAATATAATATATATTTCTCTTATATATTAGGTAATATATTAGTCCTTAATAAAGAGATTTTAATAAATAGTACCCCTATTATTTATAGTAGTAATATTCTTTATAGAAATAGTTCAGAGATTCTTATACTAGTATTCCTATATAAGAGTAATTCTAGTAGTATTTATATAGATAATATCTCTATTAAATTTGAGATTATAGTTAAAAATAAGGGATTTATACTTTTTAGTCAAGAACTTAGCCTTATAAAGCTTTAGTTACTTTGCTTTTACAAAATTATTAGTTCTAATAAATAAGGTATTATTAGTTTAAAGGCTAATAATTCCGAAGAGTTACTTATTATAAAGTAGGTAAGGGTTATAAATTAACTATTCTATAGAGAGCTCGTTAATATAATAGGAATAATAAGTCTTGAATTAGTAATTCCTAGTTTCTAGTATATTATATAATAGTTTTATAACTTTTAGAATAGAATTATTCCTTAGATTTAGTTCTCTAGTAAGCTTATAGAATAAGTTAATATAGAAATTATAATTAAGTAAGGTTATTAATTAGATATAAGCTTATAAGATATTATATAAATATAATTCCGTAGTATCTATTATTATAATAGTAATACTAAGTATAATTCTCTAGCTAATATATTAGATAATAAGTAATTATATTAATATTATATATTTCTTACTATTATTATAAGCTTAAATAACTAGTCTCGACTTCTTAAGCTTTTTCTTTATACTCTTATTCTTAATCTTATTAATAAACCGGGAGTTAAAGATATATATTTCTTTTAATATCTAAGATCTAGAAGTAATCTCAAATATATTCTTTTCTAGAAGGCTAGTAACTTTAACTTAATAGGAATTCTTATATAGTTTATTATCCTATAGAAATACTATAATATCCGAGGTCTTATAAGGGCATTCTCTATTATACTTTAGTAGAATAATAAGAATAGCAGGAGAAATTATACCTATATTACCTTTAGCCTTACTATTAGGTTTGGAAACAGGTTCAGGTTCGGGGCTATTAGTAATAACCTTAATATCCCTTATATAAAAGGGCTTTATAGAGATTAAACGAAAGATAGTATTACTATATAATAGAGCTAGTATATAGTTTTCTCTATTAATAGCTACTAGCTTATATAGTTTATTCTAATTACTAGATTAACTAGTATTTCTTTTATACTAAATAAGAATATTCGAATTCAGAAATAATTTATAGATATTAGTAATACTAGAACTATTTCGGGTATTTAAAGTATTTATAATTTAATATCTAGCTTAAAGCTTCTGAATTTCTACTATTACCTTCTTAAATACTACTAATTACTATAATATAATAAATAATAAAATATTATATTTAGTTATTTAAAATAAAATACTATAAACTAAAAGAGTTAGAATAATACTATTAGGTTCTATAGAGTTATTAATAGCCTTAAAAGTTATTTAGAGTATAATATTCTTATTAATTCTATTAATTTTAGCTATAATAATAAAATAGATATATTAGATTAGGTTATAATAATATTTTATAATTCCGACGGAATTATAAGCTTTTATAGAAATAATCTTAATCTTAATTCCTATAGTATTTATAAGCTAAGTAAACTTCTTACTAGTAAACTACTTTCCGGTATTTGCTATAATTTAATTAGAAAGGCCTAAATAGTTATTAATCTAGTATTACTTAAATATGTCCCAGATATATATTATACTAATATTTTAGAGCTATTAGCCGGCTTAATATTAAATACCTTTATTAATAATATAGAATATAGGCTTATTAGAAATATAGAAAATATTAATAATAATAAAATAATTAAAGCTAATATTATTTTTTAGATTAAACTTAAATTATTTAAATAATTAGCTATATTTCTAGTATTATTTATAGTATTTTATAAAATACTTAAGAGCTTTTATATTAATATTATAGCCTGCTTATTTTAGTATATTTCGGAGCTTACTAATAAATAAATAACTAAAATAATAGTATAGATATTATAATTTGATTTCTATAAGAAAGCAGGAGTTATAAATAAAGAATTCGGAAATAAAGCCTTATAATATAATATTTTAAAGCAGGAAAAAGTATTTGAAATATTATATTATAAGTATATATTTTCTAATAAAAGTAATAAGATAATTAGTAAGATTATTAAAATAAACTTCTAGCTTATTTATATTAGCTAAGCTAAGTAAAAATAGAGTTTTTAAAAGTATAATATAGAATTATACTTGCCTAATTAGTATACTTACTATTATAGATCTAATAAAAGATATAGATCTAATACTAAACTAGATATTAATTTAATTTTTAGTAATTTTATTAAGTTTAATACTATTATTAGTTTACTAGAAAGCTTAGAATTAGTTAGAACTAGTAATTAAGTATTTAGAGGCTCTAGTATTAATTATAATTTTATAAAAGTAATAAGTATTATATCTTAATATATTATTAATTATAAAAGTCTAGGTATTTTCTATTAAGAATTTAATAGATTTTGAGATATAATTTTTACTTATTATCTAATATATAAGAGAAAGAAAAGTAAGATTATTTATAAGAATATTAGCTATAATTATTAGTAAAATAGAAGTAATAGGAGTAGCTAAAAAGCTTTTAACTAAAATAAAATAGAAATCTAAATAGTATTTCTTTTCTTTATTTATTTCTGCTAATAAAGCCTTAAAAGCATTATTTACTAGTTTATTCTTACTATTCTTATTATTCTTTTTACCTTTAGCTTTAGTAATATATTATATATAAGTATTACTAAAGTATTTATTAAAGTTACGAGTATTTTGAGATTTAAATTAATAAATATTTCTATTTCTAAATCGAGCCTTTTTAGTTTCTTATTTCTCTAGTATATGTTTCTATAAGTAATATTCGGGTTTCTTATATATAAAATATAACTTTAGAATATAATTATTATAATTACGGGATTTAGAATAATTAATACGGGTTCTAAAGTTATGGCTAGGTCCGTATTAATAATTTCCGAAGAAATAATAGTTTAGAGAATTCTAAAAATAGTATTATTAATTAATAAAGAAGGTTTCGGAATTAGTTTATTATTTATTCTTATATATAGTAATAAATAACTAGAGCTTATTAATAAACTAGCCGAGATTTATAAAAGAATCTAAAATTATATATTTATATATCCGGAAGCCTTAGTAAAAGGTAATAATTTTATTATAAAAGAATTCGGTATTTTATAAGTTAGATATAAGACTATACTATAATTAATATAATTTATTAATTAGTAGTTAAATAGTTTCAAATATTATCTTTTCCAGAAATTTAGTTATTATAAAAGCTAATATAATAGTATTTTACTTATCTAAATTCCGATATTCGAATCTAGGGCCTTTAAAGAAGTTATAAATATTAATATAAGCCTTTTTATATATATATTAAGAGAGCTAGTTATTATAGAAGTAGTTTTGAGCTAGTTTCTTTAATATAATAGGAAAAGCTTATATTAGTATCTCTTATAGAAGCTTTATATATTAGTAAATATTAAGAAAAATAATAAGTTTATAATTAAAATTACTATTAGATTTATTATACTTTTATTTTTTAATATAAATCTTAATAACTTCCCTAATAAGTCTTATAATTAAAGGAAATTAGGGGCTATTTAAATATAATTATAATAGTAATAATAATAAGAATATATTATTTATTTCTAAAGCTTCTATATTAATATATAAATCTAGTAGAAATATAGAATATAATAATAGAGAAGGTAATAAAGAAAGTAATAGTAATATAGGAATATTAAAAATAATAGGTTCTAGATATTTATTTTTTATAAAAGTAATAAAGCTTAATAAGATTAGTTTCTTAATAAGATCTAGTCTAGCTACTAATATATCTTTATTTAATTATATATATTATTTATTCTTCTTTATAATAGTATATAGGATATTTATAATAGTATTAATACTATTATTATATTAAAGAATTTTATATAAATATAGTATTTCCGGGAGTTTGAATTTATTAAAGTTCTCTTAATAAGTAAAGTTCTTAAAGTTATATCTAAATAGCTTCTAAAAGTTATTATTAACTATTTTATAGAAAATGTATTAAAATAGCTTAGTATCTAAGAACTTAATTATCTTATTTGCCTTAGTAAAATTTAGGTTAATCCTATATTTTTACTTTCTTATTAATTCCTTAAAATTATTATTATTTAT